TGGTGATCTCACCAACTATGTCCTTGTCACTCCTGGACAGCAAATCTTTGTATTTTTTCTGCCCTACAATTGTTGTAGGTCATAGAAAATGCCAGTGTCCCAGACCTTTCTAGAAGTAGCAACAAGGTCTTTGTGGTATACTTTGTCGCTAGAATGTAGCAAACCAAAAATTACTCTAACTTGGTGTTGTTGTTTTTTTACAAAACTTGTCTTTTTTACAAAGATGGCACATTTTGTGCTGCAAAATAGTAGTAAAGATCTAAATTTTCACTCAGATTTAGAACTATGGGTGATTTCAGGACAATATTGATCATACTCATATTACCATTGTAAAGAAAGTATGGGAAATGACCAGGCTGAGCCCGAGGGAGAGGTCAAACGCATCATTAGTCTCAAGTCCCTTCCCACAAGAGATTTAAGGCCAGCCTGCTTTGAATTCCATTGACTCTTATCTACTGCCTATTTGCTCTGACATTAGTAAAATAAAATAAAATAACTAGATAAGTGCATGCTGACTACAAAGAGCTGACAGATTCAGAGGCAACATAACATTGAGTATCAACTGTAAAGGGCACTTGGCAGGGAAAGATTGATCGCCATTATGCCTTGCTCTGGGCTTCCTGTAGCACCTGATTAGCCAATGCAGGTGCTGAGATATGTCAAGTAAATCATTTATTTCTACATTTGTATAGCAATTATTTCATTTATTTGGGGGGTGTTCAGTTAACTGACAGCATATATAGTCATTCTGGTCAATAAATGAGAGGGCAGAGAAGTAGATATCGCTGATTGAATTTACCTGAAGTTGATCTGTCATCCGTATGAGAAGCTGCCGTTTTTTGGAGTGCTGAGTATACATATGTTAGGACTGGAGATGAAACGGAGGGTTGATTCTTTGGCTTGATTATTTGATCATCTTTATAAGTGCAAGCAAACTGAGATCTAATTAAAGGTTGCTTCAACTAAAAAGGAAGTAGATCGATATGAATTATAACGTATAAGTGATGAAGACAAGATTTTTAACCCACTGTGATAGCAATAGCAAAATCCTGGCATTTTTTTTTCTTTTTTTTTAATTTACTTGCTGGAATAATTAATTATATGCCTAAAATTACTATATAATTCCTTGTATTTCACATGAAAAAACAACCACATTAAATGTGTTTTAGAAAGCTGCAACCTTTTTTGTTTTTTTGAAAGGACTCTCATAAGTTCATTAAAAAGAATCTCTTTTCCACTATATGCAAACATAGATGTATATAAATAAACCTCGGTCAGATATAAGCTATGTTCACATATTGCACTAAGTCAAGACTTCTTTAGTCAAGAGTTACTAAATCAGTCACACTTGGCACAACATTTATAAAGCACAATGACTGTATTCATATAACAGACTAACACAAATCCATATTGACATTACGC